ATTTTCATAGATTTTATTATAAAAAACATGGATAAAAGAAATCACACATAGAAATGAATGAACCAGATTCAAAGTCTAGATATCTCAATGAACTTCTATATAATGAGGGTAGTGCTTCATATTGGATTTTTTATTTGTTTGTTTGTTTGTTTGCTTGCTTGTTTTTTGAGACAGATTTTTTGTTTTGTTTTTTTGTTGTTGTTGCTGTTGTTGTTGTTGGTGGTGGTGGTGGTGGTGTGTGTGTGTGTGTGTGTGTGTATGTGTGTGTGTATGTGTAACCCTGGTTGTTCTGGAAAGTGCTCTGTAGACCAGGCTGGCCTCGAACTCAGAGAATTGTCTGCCCTTGCCTCCCCATTGCTGGAAGTAAAGGCATATGGCACCACTGCCCAGCTCTCTTCACACTGGATTTTATACTTACCCAGAACCCTAAATTAAAAAATTATGACAGAATTAGAAACAGAACAGAACAAACAAACAAACAAAAACCCAACTAGAACAAAACTACTTCCTTTTTCCTTCTACCACGTGGATCTCGGAAACTGTGTTGTTAGGCTTAGTAGCAAACAGTCTGAATCACTGAGATGTCCCCTTGGCCCTAGTAATATTTCTTAAACTACTTATACCAAACATGTGTCAAAATGTCTGACTCCAAGGGAATAGAAAACACACTTAAAACCACGGTTTTAAGGATTATTTAATGACCATCCAAGAGAATTCAGCTCAGCTTTCTCTTCTTCATGTCATACACATGCCACCGTCATGACTTCTAAGCATCACTATCTCCCAAGAAGTCCTACTTCCAAATAGTACCAAGGTATGAAGTTGAGGACTATGTGGCTCCAATACATGAACTTGCGGAGACACAGTTGAAACATTGCCCACACTGACATCTCTGGCAGCTCAGCATCTGTGCAGTCACCTGCACTGGTCTCCCTAGAGATGGAAACTGAAGAAATAGTGAACCTCTGAGTAGTCATTTCAGCTTGCTTTGTGCTCAACAGCAAGAACAAGGTCTCAATGCATGTGCCTACAGAGTTCTTTCTCTGTTCTGGTATCTAATGTTTTCAAATGTGGGTTATCCTAAAAAAATAGTTAAAGGTCAGCCTGTTCTTTTTCCCCATCTCTTCATTTTAGTTGAAAGAACAAAAATGTAAATCTTTTGCTGGAATAGGTACTCCAAGTTTTAAATAGTTGCCTTTAGTCCTTAAAGGAGAGAGGATGTTTACTCCCTTCCACATCTCCCTCCACGAAGCACTCAAATGAGAGGATTCTACTTTCCTGTTTTGGGTAGTTAATTTTAGGGTTACAACAATTTACGCCTGGGTATGTGTGTTAGCCAACCAAGTCGAATCTGGGATTCCAGAAAAAGCCTGTCCATGGCACAGAGACCATCCATAGCTTCTTTTCTATTTGATAACTTGTGTGTGGCTGTGGAAATCCAGCCCATGCTAAAACCTGCTGACGACTTTTTAGGGTTATCTTTCTTTGCTTGCTTTCCTTTAGATATCTGGACTCAGTACACTCTCCCGTAGGCTCACCAGGTCATGAGGATCCTGTTTTCATCCCGAGGACAATGCCTTTTTGCTCAGTGCTTATCAGTTTTTGTGCTTATCAGTTTCTATGTTCTCCCTTTTGACCCCAAGTCCTCTGTGGGTAAAAGGTCAAAGTCTTGAAATGGAATTCAATAAAACACCCAGGAGGGTGCTTGCTGCTTTCCTCTGCCTCTGATAGCCCCTATATGATCTAGACTTTAGCCAGCTTTAGATTTATCTAGGTCATGAAGCTAACCAGTCTTCCTTGTTTTCTGAATTACAAGTGTGTGCTTTCTCAAGGCTCCTGATATCTTTTGGCTCTCTTGAGTAATTTGAAATTCAGTGGCTGGTTACTGCTTGATCAATAATCCGGGGAACCAGCATCAGGTATCTGCAGTGCTGGTGGCTAACACTAGCAATAGTCCGTGCTACCTCACTTTGTGTTCAGGAAAGCTATGCAGTATGATCTCAGTTCTGGGTGGTACAGCTGAAGATCTGTGAAGTTCAGTTGGACCAAGTCCAGGAAACTTGAATCTGAGTTGAGGCTCTTAAAGTCCAGTTTTTAAAGTTTGTATACAAGACATTGCAAGATTGGCTACCTTTCTACATGCAACATATGGAAGTAGAATATAACACCGAATTCAACTTCAGGCTGTGTCATACTTAGGCCTATGATAAGGCAAGGCTCCTAACCTTTTGGAAACCCAGTGTCTGTCCTACCAGGTAAGATTCAGTTATGTCTAAGGCCATGTTGAAGCCAACTCTTTCATATGCCCTGATCCTAAGTGAAGGGAAAAGGGAATGATTGAGTTCACTAGTTCTTGGCCCAAGGGAAGACTAATTCAAGGAGGTAATAACATTAGGCTTCCCAGAACCCTTAGAGGTTTAGCCTGACTCTGTCCACCTTCATATGTGGATGACTGGTATGTGGGGCATGAGTTAGTCCAGGCTATTGTGTTTTGGGTCTAGCTATCAGAGTATGAGCAATCTCAACCTTTGTACTAGTTTCTTCCTGTCTTTCTTCCTTCCTTCCTTCCTTCCTTCCTTCCTTCCTTCCTTCCTTCCTTCTTTCCTTTCTTCTATCTATCTATCTATCTATCTATCTATCTATCATCTATCTATCTTTCTTTCTTATCTTTTTCCTATTTTTTGTTTTGAACTCATTGCAAATCCACTCCAACTCCTCTCTCTCTCTCTCTCTCTCTCTCTCTCTCTCTCTCTCTCTCCTCCCTCTCTCTCTTACAACACTTGGCCTTGACCTGAGGTCTCCAATGCTTGTTCTACTCACATGATATTCTCTGTCGTTTGATGTAGAATATAGTGGTGGAGAAAGCAAAGGATGGGTCCCTGAATTCCACCCAAGAGGATTTCTCTCCTGGCTAGTGTAAGCAGATCCTTCTATAGTTTTAGCATCTCAAATACCTATGTTACAGAGAACTTATTCTTCTCAGGAATCTTGGCTTTGACACATGACTTTCCTAGCATAGTGTACAGGACTTGTATACATCAAAGTTTTCTGGATTCATCTATATAGCCCTTTGCTCCCTGCTGACCCAGTTGAACTTTTACCTCAAGCCAGTGCTCCATATCTGTCTAGTGCTGTGCCCAGATGACAGTAAAGGCTGCTGCTTATTGTATAGCCATCAGTCTTGCATAACCAATCAAGTAAAGTTTAAGCATTTTCAGATTTATTTATTTATTTATTTATTTAATTGTGTATGAGTGCTCTGCCTGAGGGTGTGTAAGTTCGTAGAGCAGGGGTACCTGGTTATCTGGGGAAGGTCAGAAGAGGCTGCTGGATTTCATGAAACTGGAGTGGTGGATAGCTGAATGCTGCCATGTTGGTGCAGGGAACCAAACCCCAATCTTCCTGCAAGAGCCAGTGCTGATAGCTGCTGAGGTATCTCTCCAATCTGAGTCAGGCTTTTCAGTAAGAGCCTGAAGTGGACTGTCTAACTTGATTACCTCTTTAGTAGGCTATTAGTTGGCGGCTACCAATCCATTTGCTACTGAGAAAGTCATTGCTCAGAGAATTTAGGTCAGCTGCCCAAGGTTAATCATCTGGTAAAAGGCAGATTCAGTGTTTTTCGCTCAGTTTTCCGGCCACCATTCCAAAGCTGTTTAGCATAACCATGCTTTATTAGCTAGGAATTAAAACGCATGTTTCCATCAGAGTCACTGTACGGATGGGGTTTGCTAACAGACTATTTGCTCTAAGTAACCTGGAAGATGTGTTTCTGGGCTCCTAATTCTAAGTGGGCTCTTTTGCCAGGCATCTCATATGTGCTTCAGCTTGGTAGGGAACAACTCAATAAATTAAGCCATAATGTTCAGACTTTGTTCTCTGCCAGCCTAGTGTGTGCATTGTATTTCCTTTCCTCTGTGGTCCCAGCAGAGATAGTCTTCGGATTCCACCATTTTCTCTTTTACAGTTTGCATATGGAATTATAGCCTATTGAAGTGCCTCTGTGACACTCTCTTCTCTGGCCTATCTTTCCTTCTAAGACAGTGTTGCTCACACAGGCTAGGTGAATTCAATCCTCCTGCCTCCGTCTCCCATGCATTTAAATTCTATCCCCTTTTCCTCATTAGGAAAGTACAAAGAACCAATTTGTCTACCCTAGAGGTTCAAAGGCTGCTTTGTCTGCACTCTTCTATGTAGCACAACATGATTGCCTGCTAACTTCTCTCTCCCCTTTAACAAGAGGTTTCTTGTTTGGCGTAATTAGCTCTAAGTGAGCATCTAACTGGTAAGGTTTCAGGATTTCCTCCTTTCTTTGTTACTTTCAATATCTTAGGCCAGAAGCTCAGGTCTCTTAATTTTTAAATGCTATGGAAAAGTATCGGCTTGTTAGTTACTTTACTGTGCTAGTTATTAGCCTAGATTGACGTGTCGACTGAAGTTGTTTTTCCTGGTTTGTGAGCCCTTGGAAGACTGAGATGCATGTTTATCAATTTCCTGTTTTCATCCCAGGGCCAGAATGTGATCTGAGGGTGGAACTTCCTCCTCTGAGGTCCAGGATAGAGGAGGGGTGACTCTCTAGAGGAAGCAAAATCTTATGCCAAACTCAGAAACTCAGGGAGTTGCTTTATCCTGTCTCCCTGGGATGTGTCTCCCCCCCACACACACACACACACACCCCGTGTGTGTGTGTGTGTGTGTGTGTGTGTGTGTGTGTGTGTGTGTGTGTGATTTTAAATGTAAGATCTTTAATACATGGGAACCTGGGGGAAGAGGGAGCTGGTAGGCCAGAGCTAGTGCCAGGATGTACTGTGGAAATCAGGGTTGGGGGTTGGAGAGCCTGTGGGCCAGACCCAGTGAAGGCATGCAGAGGTGGCCTGAGCCAGCACACTGGCCTACCAGACATATCACCTTATGCCTGGTGAGAGGCTTTTATTTTAACTTTGTAAAAAGTTACTAACTCCAGATTAGCTGATAGTTCTAATGAATGGATGATTCTACTTTTCTAAGTCATTTCTGATATTACATATTTATTTTGCCATAAGAGGGGAAAGGGTGTAAACATAAGCCAAGACATATTTAATCCCACGACATCGCTGATACCCAACTCATGCTAATACATGTGACCTGCAGGAACTTGGTCAAGTCTCTGATATTAAGTTTCTTCCAACGCAAGAGTGAGAGAGAACAACTGCTCTGTCTCTGTTATAAAGGTGTGGTGAGGGTTGACATGGTTTCATTCACACTTTTCAGTGGTTATCAAGAGTCTGTTCTGTGTCTCCTGTGCTGTAGACAGTGAGGCTTCTCAGTGGGCAAGACCAACAAGGACTCTGTCACCAAGACACTAACATCGCCATGTGTTTTCTCAGCTATAGCCTTCCCTGGAAGTCCAATAGGGAAAACAAACACAAAGGATGGAAACAGGGGCTAAAGTTCTGCTTGTTTATCCCAGCTCAACTTCCCAGTGGACTTTGGAAGATCTGCTTGAAGCTAGAATCCAGAGCTACCCTCACACACATGATGGACATAAGCTGAGAACCCGAGTCACTCCCAAGTTTGCAAGTTCTCTTTGTGCTAGCTGCTGTTGGTGCTGCACAGGCAGCCATTCCTGGCTGGGGCAGCTGTGGTAAGGGATGGACTCCAGCTCTAATAAAAGGTGGTATTGGAGACTTTTCTTTCCTTGACTTAAGGTGGAACAGCTCAGAGTGACCTTAGAGTCAGCCTGAGGCTGGGCTTTGGCTGGACTCTTATGGTTACCTGTCTGCTCTGCGTGCGTCTCCTACTGTCGTGACTCCATACAAGTGTCGCCAGTGGCCGTTCCTTTGACCATTCCTTTACACAGGAATCCTTATCTCAGAAGATAGCACATCTGTCTTATCATTTGTTCCTCATCTGGATAATGAAAAAAACAAACAACAAACAAACCATAGGATAAGCATACAGATATGTTAGCAACTTCATGAACGTTCTTTCTTAAAATCAATCCCAGTTTTTTAAGGTCCCAGGCAAATAAGAACCCTGATCTTGTGGTGAGGAGACATGGGGTTGGGAACAGAGTTCATCTTTTTGGGCTCTGATCATGCGTTTCCATCTTTCACTGAAGTTCAGGTGACTCGGTGAGCTGTGAGCAGATGTACTGTCCGAGTTCTCTCTGAACTGGCCCCTTCTCAGTATGTAATGTGGACCCTTTACCCACTTTTCAAAAGACTGATTAAGATTCCAGTAGATGAATTACTGTATAAACTATCATTGCTTTTTGTTTTGTTTTTTAAATTCGCTTGGATACTTGAAATGTTTGCCTTTAGTCATATTTTAGTTCCAGAGCCAAGACAGAAATATGTAAAGCAGAACAATTTGTTTTTCATAAATTATTGATTTTAAAGTGATTTTTAACAAACACTGCAACTAAATGGGGTTTTGTCTGAAACAAACGTGTATATTGCAGGAACAAAATATGGTGGTGCTTTACAGTATCTGCTCCGTCAGCTCTGTGGTTAGGGGAGACTTTCCATAGAAACAGGGCGGTTTTGAGAAGAGAATTCAGCACAAGTCGGAAATCTTCTTGAAAAAGAGGAGAATGTTAAGTAAGCAGCAAATAACAAAGAATGATGAAGAGGCCAGAGGAGGAAGGCTTTGTGCTCGGCCTGAAGGGGAAGACAGGGCACAGTCTCTAGTCAGAGGGGAAAGAGAGCTGTTTGGTGGTCCTGGTGGCCTTTAGCAAAGGAATGTGGCCATGCCAGGCATAGCCTCAAGTCAGGCAGCACCAAGATAGATCTCTCTCCCCTCTTCTCTTTCAACCTCCCGCTTGTGCCCTGCATAAGCCAAACTAACTAGGAGCTCAAAGTAAAAACACCTTTTCGGATACAGGCCTGGGGAAGGGCTGAGAGGATGGGGTATAAGGAGACATGGTGGGTATTCTGCAAGGTGCTGGCAGATTCAAATGAGCTAGTCACAGACCTTCAACAGAGTCAGCAAGTTGGCTTCTAGTCAGGAAATACTTTAGTGATGAACATCAAACAGCAGTTCAGAAACAGGCAAGAAACAAAATCCTTACACATAATGTGGCTTTTATGTTCTAGGAGACTAGGGACCCCAAATGTAAGGATTTGTAATGTCGTCGTTGCTATTTCCTGTGATGGGGTTCAGTCAGGGAAATGCAGACAACTCTGGCCCTAAAGTTATTCAGTAACCTGGTCTCCTTGTGGCATAAAATATCAGTAGAGTTAAAGAAGAGTATCTAGTATATAACAGCAACATAGAGATCCCCACAGCGCACACACACACACACACACACACACACACACACACACACTTCCACCCTGCCCCATGAGCCACATGAAACATAGAGTCCTGTCAACTCAAATGCTGAAAAACAACTGGCGATAGCACAAAAGGGGTGACCCACAGGTGATCCGTCAAACCCAGTAGCACATAGCATCTGGTAGTGGAGTTGTGAAACCTAAGCCCCAGACCTGTGTGTTTGGCAACTGAGTAGACATCACATAATTGTGTATGTGTGTTCACATATACGTGTATGGTTTCGAAGGTTGGAAACAGGGCTGGGGCTGTAGCTCAGTGAAAGAGCCCTTGGCTGGCATGCATGAGGTCCTAGTTTTTAATCTCTATGGCCAAACCCAAAGCCACTGAAACAAAAGTTGAGTAAGGAGGGAGGGTTATGTGGGCCCACCTTCACAGGATCTTATTCAGTTCTCATCACAGTGAATCTTTATTATGGTTTGTGGGCATGGGGCATCCAGGTGAGAATGATAGAGCTCCTGTCCCCTTAGCACTGGGAACACTTCTGTACCCAGAAACCCCTGTTCTCTGTAGGCCGAACACTCTGTCAGAGCCCTGGCCTTGAAGAGCTCAGGCTTGGTCTATAAGAAGTTTCATCCTAAATTTTGTAACTCAGTCTCAACTTGAAACTCCATATGAAGAGTGAAGAATTGACGTAAATTCTTAGCCAAAGAAGAGAAAGTGTGAAAAGAATAGGGTTTTTGCAAAACAAGAATTTTGACTTTCAAAAATGCCTGATAAAAGGGGCTTTTCAAAAAAGATCACCTGACAGCAAGACTGTATACGTAGCTCAATGGTAGAGCATTTGCCTAGTATTTGTGAGTCCCTGGGCTTAATTCCAGCATGAAAAAGAACTGGACCCAAATCAAAAATTCTTTAAGCGTCCAAGGCTCTGACGTGTGTTCTCTAAAAATTAGAAGGAATTATTATCCCACCAAGGAAGAAAGAATGGTTAACTAGCTTTCTCTGAGCAATCAGTTCTTCCAAGGAAGAGGCCTGTCTGAACCTGAAAGAGGGGCCAGTTCATACTCTGGCAAGAGCCTTCCCTGGGAATGAGGGAGGGCTTACAGGATGCTGGCTTCCTCTGCAGAGCAAAACAGAGATGGTGCTCCCAAGTTTTTAAAAAGGGCAAGTAAGACAAAAGGATTCATTAGGCATGGTGGGACGTACCTGAATTCAAGGTCAGTCTGTCCTTTAAAAAAAAAAGTGTCAAAGGGATCAGGAAGTGGTGCAATGAACAGGCTGTTCCCATTCTGCCTTTGTTTTCAGAAGCTTCTGTGTTTCTGGTAGAAAATGGTGCCTTTCAAGTGTGTGTTGTAAACAGTGCCCCACTGGGAGAGGGAGATCCCACTTTAGAGGCTGCAAACAACAGATCAGTTAAACAAGTGTGTCCAGCTGGTCTCTTGAGGACCCAGGGACATGATAAGTGACAGCACAGAGGTCAAGGGTCAGTCAGTGAACTTCCTAGCTTTTATTTCTGGCAGCAGCGCTTTAGCAGTGCTAAAGAGATCTCTGAACTCAGGGGACTATTTCAAAGCCCAGCTGCAGTCTCTCTTCCTGTCTTCTTAGCCAGTAACTGGAGTCAGCAGGTTGATGCCTTAAACTTTGCTGACTGTACAGATTGTGGAAACGACACTTTAAAAAAAAATGGCGTTTTTCTTTTTATGTTTGAAGTTTTTTTTTTTTAAACTAAGTCTTGCATTTATTTTATTTTTTCCTCCTCATGTTTATTAGTTCTTTGAAACCTTCTCATAATATCTTTTTTATCATATTCACCTCCCCTGACTCCTCCCAGAGCCACCCCCTTCCCTATCCACCCATCTTTGTGTCATTTTTTATTTCAATAAAAAAATTATTGGTGGTTTAAAGTATACGTTTTATCAATGGGAAATTTGGATAGAAGAAAGCATTTGGACTCAGCGCTGAAACATAGCTTCCTTTTGGGTTCGCTTATGAATTAACACATTTAGCTACTGAGAATTGAGAAAGAGCCAAAAGGAGACTTGGCTGGGCCTGCCAGAGAGGGAGGAAGGCAAGAAGCCACTGCCCTGAGGCACAGGCAGGTGGGAGAAAAGCAAGATAGGACAGACACAGCAGGCAGAGAGTCAGGGGCTTCCTGCTCACCACTCTCTTCACAATGTATCCCTCCCATTACACCAGTGAGCAGGTCTTCTTCCTGACTGCAGAAGTCTCTTCAATCTCCACAGACAGTTATGTTCAACACAACTAAGTAACCTGTGTTGCTTCATACCTTGGGAGTCTGCCCGGGACTAGTTTATTTCAGGTATATTTAAGCACAGCATGTCTGGCGAAGACTTACTCTGGTGATATTAACTCAATCTTGTGTGCATGATAAAGAACATATAAATCTGTTTAAGGAACAGGAAGCTAAATAAAGACTCTTCGTAAAATAAGTGTGCTGCTTTCTGTATAGATAGATTCTGTAGACTGGCTGAGAGGAGCAAGGGTCTGTGGGAGAGTCTGGTGTGATCTCTGGCCATACAGACAGCACAAAGGTCACCAGAATGCACATGCATCCACTCCCAGCCTTCTGGATGGAAAACGGGTACAGCATTCCTTTCCTTGATGGAATAATACTATAAGCTAACATTCCAGGTTCCCCTAGTACTTATTGATATATTTCTCTGCAGCCAGTGAAATGAACCAACTGAAGCCAGATTAGATTATATTAAAGGCAGGTTTATTAGAAGCTGCTCTCAGGTGGGTGAGTTCACTGGCCCCAAGGATTGAGGCCAGAGGAGTCACCATGGGGAAAGTGGAGGGGGGGAGAGAGAAGGAGAGAAAGGGAGAGAGAAGGAGGAGGAGAAAGAGAGAGGGAGAAGGAGAAGAGGGGAGGGAGGGAAGGAGGGAGAGAGAGAGAGCAAGAGAGAGTGAGGGATAGATAGAGAGAGAGAGCACGAGGGGGGAGAGAGGGAGGGGGGGGGGAGATTGAGAACAAAGTGTCTGGATTATATAGGAAGAGGCTCTAGGGGAAGGGGAGCCCAGCCTCTGGGCTGGAAAGTTCCTTATTGGCTTGGCAGGGTTGAGGGCAAGTGTGACAGGTAGGGACTGAGGGATGCTGGGAGGACCAGGTCTGCTTTGGCATGTTAAATATGCACCTCAGTCTCTCTCGTCTCTGAAAGCAAACACTTGTCTGTGACCACAAGGACCCCTTCACCACATACTTCCTGTTTCCTCTCTGTGGTTGGCACACACACCACTATTGAATGTTTCCCTTGGTTGCCTGCTCCATCAACTACTGATCTTATGTTTTTCCTCTCCTGATTTTAAATTTGTTGACTGGGGTCCTGTGAATAAGATTGGCAAATGATTGACAAGCTTAAAAAAAAAAGCACAGGTATTAGCATGTACACTGTGTATTCATGGGGGTAGGGATGGGGGTGGTGAGGTAGGGGTGGTGACTCTGAGGGATAGTTATAGCCTGAACTCATACAGAATCTCTGGAGAAAACAATGGGCTTGTAGAGAACTGAGAGAACAAAGGGAAGGAAGGATAGTGAGCTTCCAGCATGACGCAGGCTGCAGGAAGAAATCCTATGTGGGTGACCAATGGAGACAGAGACCGGTTAGCTGGGTCAGTCACGAATATTCTTCTGTCCCTTTTTCTGAGTTGATAAAGCATGGAGCTGTCTTCAGCCATTGAGGAAAGAAACCTAGAATAAAACTGAAAAGAAAGAAAGAGAGAAGGAAAGGAAGAAAGAAAAGAAAGAAAGGAAGGAAGGAAGGAAGGAAGAAAAAAAAGAAAGAAAAAGAAAGAGAGAAAGAGAGAGAGAGAGAAAGAAAGAAAAAGAAAGAAAAAGAAAGAAAAAAAGAAAAAGAAAAGAGAATTGCTATCCTTCCTGACAGTAAAAGGACTTTACTTGTGTCTGCTTCTTTTAGTTTGCCTTACCCTACAACAATCAGCATGTGAAAGTGGCATGCATGCTTTGGGGTGATATATTCTGCTACTTCTTCTGAAAGAAAAAAATTACATAGCTTTGTGGTTCTCTTCTCTTACTGTAAAAAACAAGCAATAACAGTCCCCTAGGATGCTGAGGATACCAGAGTAATTCATTCAAAGCACTTAGGACCCAGCGAGCAAACAGCCAGTGCAAGCAGACAGCAGATGCTATCAAATTTTCTACCTAGGAAATCGTTTGAATTTCTCTAACAGAGGGTGAAGGAGGGTAAGAGAGTGAGAGAAGATGAGGGAGGGTAGAGAAGAGTGAGGGAGGATAAGGGAGGGTGAGGGAGGGTGAAGGAGGTTAGAGAAGGATGAGCGAGGATAAGGGTGGGTCAGGGAGAGTGATGTAGGAAGAGGATTTGATCACTGCCTGGAGGGTGGGGGAGGCTACAGGTAGAAACAGCTATTTGCTAGACTACTCTTCCTTCTAGAAATGTCTGGAGATTGTTGAGCTCAGTTGCAACAGCTAATGACACCCAATAGTAGTTGGGTTTTGCAGGAAAGATTCTTGCCTTGAGCTCCAGGATCCTTATGGTGGGAAGGAGAGAACTGACTCCTGTAGATTGTCTTCTGATCTCCACGCACACACCATGGCAGGTAAGCCACACACATGTACACATGCATACACAAAATAAATACATAAAATACATAATAAAAAGAGCGAAATAGTGAAATACTTAGGAAGGCTTGCTTCAAGTGAAGGTGGTGGGGCTTGGGCCTGTATAGGTCTACAGAAGGCCACGTTGAAAGGAAAATCACAATGGAAGCATCTCTGAAGAGCTTTTCAACCTGGAGCTGGGCAGCCCTTAAGTGGGCGTGACTTATGGCTGAGTTTAGCTCCTACCTAGAAATGTGAATGTTTTTCACCCCCTTGACCACAGACACCTGAACAATCAGAACTATTGGAGCTGAAGGCTTGGGATAGCATCACGGGTGTATTAGACTCTGTCTTAGGGACACTTCCATTCTGTTCCTGCATTCTTTCCTTCTATCAGCCGAGTCTTCCTTCTTTATCCTATACACTCAATAGCTCACATGTGCTCCTGCTTTTTCCACATTCTGCAAAGCACTCCTTCAAAACTCTCTGAGCCATTGCCCCCAGACCTACAGACCTTAGACCTCAAGTAAGGTGCTTTTTATGGATTGATTAACCCGACAGATTTTCTTTTAAAAAGTAACTATCCAGGCTTAGAGAAGACAAGTGTATGATGTTAAGAAGTAGGCTGAGGGAATGTCTACAGGGGACCAGTACTCTTGAGTTTTCAGAGAAAGCCTAATTTAGCTTGACTTGAAGCTGTGGGAAGAACTTTGCTTCTCCAAGTATAACGGGGGATTTGAACCCAGGGAAGCAGGACAGAGCGTCAGGACTTCACAGGAGAACCCTGAGACAGAAAGGGTTAAGGTCAGAGATCATGCCGGGAACTGACATTGTTTCCACCACAGAAAGCAAATGTTTACTTTTATCTGACCACACCTGGACTTTGAAAATATACTGTTTACCTAGAACAAGTTGTTGAAAACCACAGAAGGACTTCGAGACTAGGCTCCTGTATTAGCCCCCAACAGCCCAGATTAAAGCTCAAAACAGTTACTTGTGCTGGCATCTCCATTACTAAACTGAAACCAAGTTATTGTCATGTCTCCCCAGAAGTGAGGAGAAAGGAAACGATCATAGTTCTTGAACATTTTTGAGTATGTGACAATGAGTTTCTAGTTCTGAAGTAAAATTGAAAGACGTGTTAAGGCGGAGCCTGTGGCACTTACATAGAATCCTAATACTGAGGCAGGAAGATCATAAATTTGGGTCCATATTGGGCTACATAGTAAGACCCTGACTCTACCATCTATCCAAACAACCAAGCAACCATAAAATACCTATAAGTCTTTCAAACCAAATCCAAAACACACTGTGTAAGTAGGAAGTAGACTCTGCTCCTCCTGAACCATCTCTACAGCTGCTTACCATCTGAGCCAAGATCTTACTGTTCAGGCTCAGCGGGTCTCAGACTTTTCTCGTCCTTCTGCAGAGGTTACAGGCATGCACATGCATGCCTAACTAGAAAATCATCCTTAATGAATGAGATCACTCTGGTGGTTCCTGATTAGGAGAACAGATTTGTTTTTTCAGGAAGAAAGCCTCCTCCTTGGTGTGCAGAGTTTTGGCGAAAGAGAAAACAATTGCCCAAGAAGAACTGGTCCTTCCTAATAAGAAAGGAAAGGAATTGCTCTATACCATTCCTTGGGCTGTAACTTGGGAAACCTGTTTCAGCAGTTCACAACCTGTGTGTTGCAAACCCTATCGGGGGGTTGCATAGCAGATGTCTACATTCTGATTCATAATAGAGAAATTACAGTTATGAAGTGGTGAAAAATAATTTTGTGGTGGGGAGGGGTCACCACAACATAAGAAACAGCTGTATTAAAGGGTCACAGCATTAGAAAGGTTATGCTGAAATGAAGTCTGTTGATAGAAAAGGACACTGTGGCTTTCAGAGACCAGACCAGGAGGACAGTGGGTTCTAGGCTTAATGCAATCATCTAAGGATTTGAGATAAACACACATTGGTATTTATTCAAGTAATAGATCCTCTTGAGACGACATACTTAGTTTACTGGAGTTCAATTCTTTGTATGAAACATAGCTGGGCAACAGAGCCTGGACAGTTGAAATGGAAAAGTTAAAGCCTTAGAGACTAACCTAGAGTAGGGGCCAGAGCTGGGGTGTCCTCAGAGGGAGCAGGGCTGGGGGTGTCATCAGAGGGAGTAGGACCCTTGGGATGGCAGGGATGCTAAGTAGACAGGTAAAAATTTCTAATTCTCTTCATTTGATTCTTAGAAGCTTCAGTGTTCTTGGATCACCAGGAGCATGTCTCATTGGAGAGGTTGGCCAGTGTCTGGGAGGAGATTGTGGATATGATGTACATATGAAGAGTGGAACAATTCAGTGAAAAGGACAATGCCGCCATGTATCCACTCAGATTCATAGTGGTGTTGAGTGTCTCCGAAGGAAGGATGAGATGGGATCAACTCTGCAAACAGAGTAGGGCAATATGGGATTGAAGCTGCAGTCAAAGAGTTAAATAAATCAGGGACACAACTTTTGGCTGCATTTCCAACTTGGTCTGGCTGGCCATGTGATCGGGATGCTGAATGCATTAGCTCAACAATGGCATCTATTCAGTAAAGGGAGCTAGCTCTGAGTTCCTGCAACAGAATTCAAACTCTTCTCATAGCAGCACCAACGGAGAGGAGAAAG